CAAGACTTATCAAGAGCAGGAAATCTACTCCTGCTATCCCAAGAAGATAAACATTTAAGTTTTTTTCAAGATAAGCCTCTTTTCTACTGCTCTGTAGACACTGAACAGACTTCAGAGTTTAGCAGCATTTTGAAGGTGGCATGACAGATGAAATGGGCGATTAGGGGCACAGTAGATATTCAAGCACAGTCAACACATTGCTTCTCAGAGGCAAAATACAACCAGTCTTGAGAACAGCATTAGCTCCCAGGTCCCATCAAGACGAGAAAAGAAAAGAAAAGTAACAAACTGGCTGCTCCCTCTAAAAAGATACTTTGACTTCCAGCTCCTGTCTCTACACTGGCCTTGCCACATGTCATTTAAAATCTGCCTTTTTTAAAAACATATATGTACACACATACACACACACACACACATACATATATATATAAAATTTTTGCTTAATTAAAACATACACACCTGTACTATGGTTTGTTAATACCTGGAAGAAGATAGCTAGCTAAAGAAAAAGAAGTTCCTTAGAAACATATACAATTGCTGAACGATCTAATTTCAGATCCCAAACCCACAAACCTACCAGCTTCCATCACATACGTATCCAGAGAGGAAAACGGGATCCTTCATTCTTACAAAGAGGAAATCACACCAAGTTTAAAAAAAAAAAAAAGACAACCCCAAAAAAACCAGATCAGACCATTAAGAAGTGAAACTCCTACCTGCATCTGAATGACTGCATCTGTTTGCAAGAGAGTTGTCTTTGCCTGGGCATCAAATACAAATGGGTATGTGCAAATTGTAACAGGAATATCTGTTAGCTAAAAAGAAAAGAACATGTCTAACTCTGCTTATTAAAGACACAGCAATGGTTAAAGAAGTCACTACAAAAATGCTACTCATTTAATATATCAAATTTTACTGAAAAGAGAAAGGAATCATTACTCACTGTCAATGCAGAACCAAAGAGCTTTTCAGGTACACATATTTTCAATCATTCAGTATTTCGGCAAAAAAATTCACCTAGTATATTTAGTTGCAGAACTTTTATTATGACTAGTAGACGTAGTCAAAGTAGTTATTATTTTCAAACTCTACTCTAAGTTTACAACACGCAGAATTAAGTATTTTTGCCCCATGAACACTCTCTATGAACAGTCTGATCAGTTTTATTAGGCAAGGCAGTTTAGGAAACTCTTTTCTGATCACGGTCTTACTAAGTTAAAGCTTTATTCCCAGTAGAACACATCAAACAACCCTTGACAACCATATTTCTGATTTCCTTACATTCTGCAACAGAAATCAGATTGCAACCAATCTTACCTCAGTTAATCCATGGTTGACATCCTATGACAGCATTTGCACAAAGGTAGCAATAATTAAGATGAAAAAGCAGTATTAGTGTCTGCATTAATTATTCATCTCTGATGTTGAGTTAAAAATATTTAGCTACAGCTTTTTCCCTCAAAAAGAATGTTTACTGAAAAATAAATAACCGCCATAAACATTTTAATTAGTCCACCAGATACAGCCATGCTCTTCAACACCCTATATGTCAGCCTTTAAAAAGGGAGCATATAGTATCAAGTTTTCTTGGATACAAAAAATAAAACATTTTAAATATTTCCCTACTAATGTACGATAAATGGAATCTGCTGTTACTTACGTATTTTCATTCTCAAATAACTGTAGCATGTCATATTAAATACAAGACATTTTTAACGAGTAAAGATTAACAGATACAAAAAACCCACTTGAGCATAAAATCCCAGGAATCATTTGGTTCTATGATAATGCTTAAGAAAAAAGCAATCAAGTCTTGAAACTGTGCAGGAAACCAAGACAGACCAAATCAAATTGCTGGGACTGTGAGAAGAATTTCACAAGCTAGATAAACTTTGCCGAGAAACTCGGAGTTATCCGTCTGGCACTATGCTACGCTTTTTTACCCTCTGTCGAAAGCTAAGTACATTCCCACTTATCAGACAGAACACGCAGGAAGGGGAGCTAGTAACAAATTATTAAATTTTAAGACTTGGGAGACTAGTCTGTCGATATCTACGGCTTAAAGAAAACGATGGCCAAAATGCCATCATCTACAGAGTTTGCCTGCTCCCCATATCCTTAACTCCTCTTAGAAAACACCAGATTTAAGTGCTTCATATGTCACAGGCAGATTTAAGTAATTCTGTACTGTTACTGTATCTACCATTATCTATTCCTAATTAAAATGGTCTTTTCAACTCCTTTAGGCAGTATCTCAATTCTTTCAGAAATACCTCTTAAATCAGTAGCTTGTTATCCAGTAACTTCAGTCTTTCCCCACTCTATTGCTGAAAGCAGAATGGAAGAGCTCTTCCACTGCTTTGCATTAGAACCCAGGAAAACAGTATGACATAGGCTGAAAAAATTAAGTGACGCATTGGAAGTGCTGACACAGTAATTCCTCTAAAAATTGATAAATTACAAGCTTTTATGTCAAGTTCAGTGCTAAGAACTATTTGTTTCTCCCCTCTGCATTCAGACTGAACGCTTAAGTTACAGGGGCTGGAGGGGAAAGAGGCTTCTTTCTTCATGACTTAAAACGCGGAGCAAGACAAAGGGCTTTCTGTGAAAGCAGATTTTCAACTCAAGCAAAGGTACCACCAGCACAACATTTCTCATTTCTTTTATCTTTTTCTTTTAGGCAGCAGAACAGACATGGAATTTATTTCAGTCCTATAATAAACTCAGTAACTTTTTTTTCCCCTGTTTGCCTTAAAGCTGGACAAATGCACGACAAAATAACGATCAAAGGGAAAGTCAGTATCTAGTACTTTCTCCATGATGTCAAGCTACTGCTCAATTTTCTGATTTGATTAACAAATAGAGCTTAAGAGTTTCATTACAATTCAATTTTCCAGGCCTCATTTCACCATGCTTCAGTATTTTCTTCTCTGGTCATGACATATGCAATTTTGGTTTGTCTATATCCATTGAAAGCATAGTTGCAGCATCACCTTTCCAATTCCACCACTCCGCATTTTTACCCCTCCCCAGCACACCCCTCTGGGCACCAAACACACCGCCTGCCTCCCCTTCCAAGGCCCTGCAACGCTTATCCCCACCTCCGACACAACATCTAGCACACCCCCCCTCCCAGCTACCAGCACCAGCCTCGTCATACCCTGGTAACTTTTTCAGATCAGCGCACTTCTGCTTTTCTTCCCCCACTCTACGATTATTCATGCTTGGGGGGTGCTTTCTGGGAACATCCCCAACATCAGCAAGTTCTCTTTCAAAATATTTCTCAAAACCCTGCTTTACTGCAGAAAGCTCAGTATGCTGCTTGGCTGAAACAGCTGTCTGCCATGACTGTCAATACTGACTCATTATTTCTTCACACTCCCGAATCTCCCTGCTGTTATTTTACACTGCAGTTTTAGACTCTTCGGGAGAGAGATTATCACTGGCTTTGCATTCACAGAATGCGAATGCACAGTACAAGTAAGTTTTAACCCACGTTCAGGACCTTCCAGACACTGCTGCTAAAGAATTAAACTTAGATGGCTAGAGTAAGCATACTAGTTTACTTGGCGTTCTTCTAAAGCACAAGTCAAAGAATTGTGTAGCAAAATCCTCCTACCCACCTCACTAATTCTCTACACAGTCATTCATTTACTCCTACTTACCACTCTTCTTTTGAAGGATACAAGAATTGTCTCAGTTGTTGTTGCTACACTCACAGTAGGAAATAATGTTAGTTATCTGTCCACTGTAACTCTCTAAGTGCACTTCTAGAGTTTGTTTTCCAGAATGGTTTCCGCTTTCTCCAAGTCTATATTTTTTTCTGATATCAAACTTACTGTGTAAGCTAGGTTCAACGGTAATTCAAGTTATTCTGGATATTTTCCTATCATAAATTATTACTTTCCTAACCTTTTTGACATGGCAAATGTTGACGGACATCATTCCGAATAGCTTTTTAATTGATGAATTAAAATGCTGAACGGTGTCAGTCTTAAGAATGGCACCCAACAAGAAGCACACCTATTTAATAATTCCTCCTTAGCTAGTGCCTGACCTAAGTCATACCTGACAAAGTACCCAGATTTAAAGAATCCGCTCACTTCTATAAAGAAACAGAAACAAGCCAAAACAAAACAAACTTACCATTCCAAATACCTGCTGCTGGACCCAGTTGAAATAGTCATTTCTGATATCTATCAAATCTTGTATCTCATGAATATAAAATCTGTCATACTGTATAACTTGTCCTCTTTCATTTACCTAAAGAAATGAAATTTATTTTTTCCGTTATCACTTTGCATAAGAGTTTAAGAGTATTTTTTCCATATTTTTCAAACGTTTGAGATGTCAGCCACAGACACCCATCTACTAAAAAAAATAAAGAAAAATAAGTGCCTACAAGAATACAAAAATAACTTTTAAAACATGAAAACATGGATTATGCAACAATCCCATCTAAGGTGCAAGGGAAAATAAGATTACCTGAGCATACAACGTTGCACTCCTGCCATTTTGAAACATCATATGATCTCACAGAAACTCTATTTGTGTACGCATGAGTTTAAGAACTAGGATTTAAGAACTCTGTTCTTAATTACAGAACAAATATGGTTTCTAATACCTGTGATCAGAGGAACAGTTTAAACTAAAAAAAAAAAAAGTTAAGGTTAGGAAAATAGAAGATGGTCACAGTACAAAAGAAACTTTATATAAAGGCCTTTCTCTATAGTACAATTTTAATCCAGAAACTTCGCATAGGACTGCAAATTTATTGAATCGTAATACACATCACTTCTCCTAAAGACAGGCAAGCACTGTTAACAGTCCAAAAAAGTGAGACTTCTGGCTGTACAACCAGATAAACTAAGCTTGCTTTTCTTAAGCAGCTCTCCACCACCCTTGAAGAACCAGATACTGGAACAGTCAAGTATCCCAGAATGTTTTCCTGTTAGTTCCTCTTAGGTTACTCCATAGGAGGTGATATTTTAGAAAACACCACTACAAACACCTGGGCAGCAAGGCAGGTACAAACGTAACTATTTCTACTGGGTAGCCACCTGTTCACCATAGTTAGGTTTCCCAAACAAAGGAATTTAGAAGAGGAGAGCCGGGTTACCGTTCTTGAAGTCTGGAGGCTTCAAGATTTTAAGACCAAATTCAGCTATTAAGAGTCACAGTTTTTGCAAGCCTGAACAGAGACAGAACTTCTCAAGGCAGTAAAATAATTCATTAGACACCAACAGCTTTCCAACTGGGAATCTGTAATCAACGTCTTGTACTTACAGAGGAGATGGTTACTAAACAGTCTTATTTCCAGCCTTAGTTTGTTGGTCGCTATGAAGACTAAATGAAATTAAAGTAAAAAATCCAACTTTCAAAGCAGAAAACCTTTTCATTATTTCTACTAAGGGAAAACAAAAACAAGCAAAAAAACTCCCCAAAACAAAAAACCCACAAAACAAAAGCACCCCTCCCCCCCGACTTTGGCTGCTAGTGATCAGTGTTTTAACTGTTAAAACCAAGCTAACCTAAAACAGGGAAAACTGAAGCATCTAACACACTGTTTTGGCAGCTGGACAGGAACAGCATAAAAGAAATTTGCCTGCACATAAATAATACAAGTCTGCATTGCAATAATGATGAACGTTTTCCACTAGTTTCATGGATTTCATGTAGCACTTAGGAATATCTCCTAAGTGAGCATCTTTAGGAACAACAATTGACACTTATTTCCAGGAAAAGAAAAGATGATCCTGGCCAACGGGAAACGAGCACATTCTCTTCCAAATTGGATTCAAACGGATACACAGATTAAGCTTCAAAGCCGATCATCAAAACTGTTGGCACATTTGGTGGGTTTGCTGTTGTTTGATTAAGTCATTTTACATATAGCACACAAAGGTCCAATTTAGATGCCTGTTCCGTTTTGCCAGATTGTACAAACACAATAAATGGATGAGCACCTTAAGAAGCACATCTTAAACCCTCTTTAAGGATAATAAGCAGAAAATGCAGTATGACCAGAGTAAACTGGTGGGAGGCAAAAAGGACAGAAACCTCTGCAACAATTGGATAACACAGTTTCACAGGCTTGTGATGTGCCCACTTTTGTTACTTCAAATAATTTGGACTATTTTTGTTCAAGGTTTATAAATCCATTATTTTTCATGAATTAAGTTGCAATACCAACACACTCCAACAAATCCGAGAAGAAATATTTGTCTCGTTACAAATGTTCAGATTTTTCTTGTTTAAAACAGAGCTTCCTTTCATCTTCCGTCTGTGATCTTATTTGCTACTATTTCAAGCTTAGATACTATTTTTCCCAACACACACTCATAGATACAATTGACGGAGCGGAGTCTGCTTTCTCAAGAAAACAAGTAGTTCTGTCACCGTGTCAAAACGGAATCCAGAATTCCAACGGTTCAAAGGTCCAGATGGAACAACTACAGACGTTTTTGTAGATGCAAGCCAAGCCTAAATAATTACAACTCTTTAGTTAACTTCTTTAAAGGACTAAACTGCACACAGATGCTGACAAGAACAAACAGATAAAATAATTGGTTAAAAATGATGCAAACATACTTACTTTATGCAAAATTTCCAGAACTCTGAAAGCAGTGTGTAGAAAACTGGTAAATACTCTTCTTTCAGAAGTAGGGAGGCCAATCTTGTACAACTTCAAGAGGTGGACTACGACATCCTTGTAGAGTTCCACTACCTTGAGGAACAATGGAGGTTCAAGTACAGACCACCAATTTTCTGCCAACAAATTGGAGAACGCATAAATGTAGTACTTGCCAATACAACACTGTTTTTACTCTGCCTCTTTTTAATAAGTTTTACTAGAAAGCACACTTGTCAGTTACCAAAAACCACCAAAACTGGTGGGCAAAGAAAGAAGAACTAAGGGTTGACCCTTCCAGCACAAATTCAGTTCTCTACATAGCAAAGCAATAAGATTGGGAAGCAGCAGATATTCAACTAAAAATAAAATTAGAGAGATATATATCTGGCAAATTATTCTACAGGGTCACATCCTCCCCTTCCTCACTTCTGGAATTTAAAACAACACAAAACTGGTATCAACAGCTATCCGAGTGTGATCATTACTGAATTGGGGCAGCTTCGGAGAGGAAAATAAAAGGTAAAGACGCAACAAAGCTAAGAGAGCAAAAGCAAAGTGTGGGAACCGCTTGTCTGTGAACAAGTAACTGGAAGGGGAAAAGCAAGGTAGAAGAATGGGCCACTGCTTTCAAAGTGCCACTTCCTCTTTTAATATAGAACATTTAACACAGCAAGAGTGCTGCAAAACTTTAGGCACCAAACTATTCCTTGCACCAATGATGAATCTTCTTTTGAATGCTCTATTGTTATAGACCAACTCTTTAAGTTAAGTTTGTTAATCCAGTATGCTACACAAGAGCATTATGAAGTAACTTCTGACATAAAACAGATGGCCCATATCCTGAAACCTTTACTCAAGCAAACAGTCCCATTGAGAACAAAGGAAACACTTGTCACAGTTCTGAAGCAACACAAAAAAAGACCTACAATCCAAAGAAACGACTAGTCAGTTTTTCCTTACAGCAGACCAGCCTTTTGGTGACTGCACACTTTACTCTCACCAAAAAGTACTGAAAAAGGCAAAAGATGAGTCACAAATAAAGGCAAAAAATAAACGATGGAGAAGAAACTGCCTTCATAGAAAATTATTATTTGAAAAGGAAATATTTTGAAACCTCAAGGTTTCAAAATTCAGGTGACAAGAGACAATAAAAAGGTGCAAGGAAGTAGAGCAAAAAAGCTTGAGTTACTCTAAGCTGCTTTAAGGACCACAGCTTAGATCAGGGAGAAAACAGGGACCTCACAGAAAAACAAGCAAGTGCTATCGTCAAAACAAACACACAATTTAATGTCTGCTCTTTTAATGCTTCTGTATATTGCTTAGAGCTCATTAGCTGTCTGACCACAATTTTCACTTCAAAAGAGCAAAGATATATATCAAACACACTAAACTATATAGGTTCGTTCCTCCCAAAAGGAATCTTGGACTACCAAAGATTACAATACCAGATCAATTTATATGCACTGCCAGTTAGCTCACCCAGAAACAAGAGAATGGTGCTGTCTTGCACATGGAGCAACATTAGCTCTTAACTGTCTCATCAGGGAATTCTACAGAGCTGCGAATACAGAGCAGGTGTTGCTGAGACCAGGCCTTCACTAGTGGAATAGCTATAGGTTTTCATCTGAAGATCCTTAGTTTTAACAATGAGGAATTAAATATCTTACCAAGAACTTTCAGGGGAGCTTTTTCTAGGTTCAGAATAGCTGTTCCAAAAGGAATAGCTAATGTTGTAAAATTGTTTGCATCACTCATCAGTGGGCACTCCGGTAGAGTGAGATACAGCCTCAAGGCTTCAACATCTGGTAAGGAGCTCGTCAATTTGGGAATAAGGTTCTTTTCCAAACTAGCTGCAACCTACAGCGCAGAATAAAATTCAGTATTTTCAATGCAATTGCACATGTAGGAAAAAACAACAACCACCACCACCACCTTTCAGAATAAAAAACTAAAAAAGGGATCAGCGCCTATTTGAAATTAGCGGGTACATGTTACAAAGGATTGAATTGGTAATGTCATTGTTCATATCTGCACAGACACAGAAGCAAAGCTATTTAGTACATTTTCCCCTCCTAGATTAAAAAAAAAAAATCTACAAAAGAGAGTTTAAACAAAAATATAATAAGTTTAGAAAACAAGACAGCACATTAAATATTAAAACACAAACATTTACAATATGCTAATGTGTTACCTAACTGGCACAACATAACAGTTTTACCTATTCATAGTTGGTATGTGATTGTGTAAAGAAATTTATTAAAAGAAAAAGGCCAGACCAAGCAAAACAATTGCATTTCTGGATATGTATAACGAAGAAAGATAATCCCAAACAAGGAAAACATGCAGGACAAACCTGTTGCGATATATGAGCATGGTCAGGCTGTATAAGTTTGTGAAATAGCAGTCTAGCAGCATTCATATCAACCCCTGAGAATCTAACGCTGGTTTTGTAATGATCATCGTTGCTGCAGCAAGAAAAAAAAATGGGGAAAACAAGACTGAATCCTGCGTTCATCATCCCTCTCCAACTTTTTCACCTTTAATTCTTAGCCCTATGTACTAAGGAATTGAAATATGAGAGATCACAGTATCAGATGCCCACTGAAAATTCTCCTCCAAAGTTGACTGCAAGGCAATAGCTTAAAAATATTAAGTTTTACAATAGCCTACGCAATATATTCCTCCTGGATTATACACGATCTGTGCCCCAGAAGTAACAAGTTCTGTTGGCTCATGCAACAGCAGCCAGGCAACCCACGCTTCCAAAGACTAGCATGAGACGCGCTGTGTTTGGGCCAAGTGACAGACCACACGGCAGTAGAGAAGAGCTTGAAGAGCAAGCTGAGGGTATCGGAGTAACAGTAGGGTACAGAACTAGGGGGAAGGTGTTCTAGCTAAGAAGGTAGCCATCATTAATTCTTCAGCTCTCAGGAATGCTTGTTTAAAAGCCCAATCACTTACCTCAAAGCCAAAAAGCTCCCATTCAGGCACCCAGCTGAGGAAAACGTTCCATCGATCTCACTGAAATTGGTTGTATGAAATAAGTAACGTCTTTTGTTTTCTTTTTTACAAATTAGCATTTATCATAAAGTACCGCATTTAATCTCTAATGAATTACGTTTCACATAGAACGTAACTGACACTTTACCTCCATTCAAGACTCAACACTTAAGATGGTTCAAAACACAAGCATTAGATTTTTTTTACTCTGTGATCCTTTCCTTAATAAAACAGAAGCAATAAGGTTCGAGCTGCTGATTTTCCTTTACATCTACTGTTATTTTCTGATGTTCAACCATACACATATCTTAATCCTGTATAGGAAAGTGACCTAAACTATGATAGAGATAACAGAAGTAAAGGATCTAAACTGCTTTACAAGCATGACAATGAAAGCATAGCAAAAGCGCTTCATATAATAAAATCAGTAATAAAAGGGAGCTTTGCTATGTATGTTCAAACCTACACTAATGCACAAATCATACGTGTAATTATGAAAGATATCTTCCTCAATTGCACTTACTTAGCTATCTCTGCAGGAAGTCTTCCAGATGGGAAAGTCAACAATCTCTGAATAAATGTTTCATTCACAGTCCAGATCTGCTTCAAAAAGTCAGGATACCTGAAATCATCTGGTGGCACCATGTTCTAAATTTTAAAGAAAACAGAAGGAATTAGGTACATAAAATTTGTTTCCAGAAAAGCAATCCTGTGTTTAAGCTCTTGCTCTCTTCAGTGATTAACAATTTGCCAAGTCAGACAATTCCTGTGAAATAAGCTCAGGGATAAATTTACTGTGTATGAGCAGTTCTGCCCTCACCAGAACAGAGTACGCAGTCACACACTAAGAACACTCAAATTAACGTGTTAATTCACACCACAACTCATTTTATGGTAACCTTCTAAATAGACAAGTACTTTTTTAGAACGTGCACGCTAAAAATGCATCAGACATGATCAGAGAACATCTCTTCTCCCTGGCTACTATCAGCCATTTAGTTCGCTCTGCCAAGCTGCGAGCATGCCGAAAAGGAGTCGTTCAATTTTTTGGACAGCTGCTCTTCCACCCCCCCCCCCCACCCCCTCAGCAGAGTCCTCCGGGCAGGGGGAGGGGGGACACAACTGTATCACACTTCTCTAAACATTCACTGCATCATCTGATAAACTGCTATTATATTTTGATGTACTGCTCATACTGAACGAATCCCAGCGAGACCTCCAAAAGAGAAGAGGAACAGACTGGAAGCAAGAAGATCAGTTTTGAGTAGGAGTGTTGGTTCACAGAAAGGTGGAAAGCAGCACCAAAAATGAAGTTAAACGACTATAAGGGTGCCATATTTCCCCTGAGGGGGCAGTCTGACAACACAGCTGACAGCCTAATGACTAGCTGTTGCCAAAAATCCCACTCTCCAGGATCAAAATGAGATTGTCCGCCTTGCGTCAGCAAAAGCGTCCTTTAAGCTTAGGGTGATTCAGGGAGCTGAACTGCACCAAAAACTAACTTGAGAAAACTCCAACAGATTTTGGCTGTCTGAGACAAGGACACACAAGTCCCAAGAGTACAGTACTCAAATAACTTTGAAAGAATTCGATACAAATTACTAAACTAAGGAATACTAAAGGGGACGCTTTTACAGCATCCAAGTGCATCTATTGCTAACGCTTTTGTACAGAACAAAAATACAGTAATTGCATTCATGAAGTCTCCACTGAGTCAGTCAGAATATACTTAAGTGATTATGGATCTTGCATGAAAATCACATTAAACAAAATGTTAATGCCTGTTTTGAACCTATATTACTGTCAGTCATTTTTCCAGTCTACATCCTGTCAAACAGCTTCTCTCAAGTACAGAAATAGTTTACCAAAACCCAACTGGAGTTATACAAAAAATAAAATTAAAGCAAATTACTAGTGCTGCACAACCAGAAGAGGCTGTGGGAGCAAAGGCTTGCTGCAAGCCTGACCTGCACTCAGTTTTTCCTGATAACAAACAAGTTGTCGTCAGGTTTCCCTAAAACCTCACCATTTTCTTTCACATCCAAATTATTGTTTTCGCCCTGCATCAGTTACCCTTTTAAAGAAAGCTATTGTCTTAATGGCTATCACAACATAAACTATGTCGCTACTCATAATTTTCAGCACAAAGTCAGCACCGTTTATTTTCTTATCACTATGGAATGCTGTATTGGCTAGGGACAAATTATTGTTTTCGCCCTGCATCAGTTACCCTTTTAAAGAAAGCTATTGTCTTAATGGCTATCACAACATAAACTATGTCGCTACTCATAATTTTCAGCACAAAGTCAGCACCGTTTATTTTCTTATCACTATGGAATGCTGTATTGGCTAGGGAAAACAAACCCCCCCAGCCAGTGAGAAGTTGCTGAAGAGGACCGGGAAGAGGAAGGAAAAGCTCTGACACACAATCACCTTTTCCTTTATGAAAGGAAAAGGAAACAAGGACATGTATTCATCACTCAGGGGGAAAAAGGCTTATGCCAAAAAGTCTCAAGGGCTTACTGACCATTAACGCACAAATAACCAGATCTCACTCCTCTCATTGCCAAACTGACTAACCCAAGTGTCTTGTGCTTCCACACTCTTCTGACATTTTTGCAATGTAGTTACGCATCTTCAAGATTAAGATCTTTTAAAATGCACTAAAATACGAAATTTAGCTTGGACGCACTTTAGAATCAAAGTATATTTTAATGTATTACCTGTGGATTAAAGTAGTGTGCAAAACTTTGGTCTCCACCAGAAAAAATCCTCTTTACGCAGAAGTATTCCTCACTGCCTGTAATAAGAATAAAACACAGGCAACTGAAATCTTGAGAAACATCTGAGACACTGCAGTCAATACACTCAATTAGAAAAGAGTTCCCTTGTTACATAATCTGTCTGAAAGCAGATCTTTGCAATAGTTAAAATTATCTGTAAGGGACGTAAACACTAACAGCTCTAGTGTTAGGTCTAGTGCTAACAAAGCACCTAAGCCAACAGCACAAGGAAGTAATTTTAGTGAACGTTTCCCACAGCAGAAATGGAAATTAGGAAATCGAACATAGTGAAAACAAACTGTTTAGAAGAAGGTTACTGTAGCACAGATTTAATTTATATCTCAAGACCTGCAAAACACTTATAAAGGAACACAAATCCAAAAAGCAATTATGTCAGGTGGTGCTTACCTGTGGTTAGTGGGCACTGATTACTGTAAGGAAGCCAGTTTCCTTTCACTGTGAAGGGACTTTTCCTATTACTTGTTGTTCCCGTACCTAATTGCCCATTACCTCCGAGTCCAAAAGAATATATTCTTCCAGATGAAGGAACAAATGCAGTAGTGTGCTGCCTAGGGCAAAAAAAAAAAATCAGTAACAAAAACTTAAGCATCATAACGTGCTTTGCGCAGGCCAAATTAAATTTTGTTAAACGTTACGTTCAAGGTCCTGTAGTATCAAATGCTCCACGTCTCCATAGGCAATGCACTGTCACTAGCAATACTGCCAAGAGACAAAACTCCATTTTCATGGAGAAGTTCAGGGAGCAAAGATGCCACATGTTTTAACTTGGACCCCCGCCTAGTGACAGCCTGACCTTTAAGGCATCTCTGGACATTCAGAACTTTGAAGTTTCTACCAGATGGGTTTCATCTCTTTTTAACTTTCAACTCTAGATGTCCCCCTCCTCTGTGGGAAGAAGCACTACCAAATTAACGTAGATTATCAAAAGGGAATGGGTTCAACCAGTGTCAACCAAACAACAAGACAGAAAAGTTTGCATACAGTTTTTTTTTTTTTTTAATCCAAATCGTAAAGTGTGCCCATCTACTCAAAAATTATGTTGCCCTGTGTTTATCTTCCTCCTCCATTTTGTCTTCCTAGAATGCAATTCTTTGGACAAGGACATTTTCATCTGTGTTAGAAATTTTTCCATATTTCTTGGGTGCTATTATAATAAATTCAATAAAAATCCACGAGCAACCAAAGTGAAGTACACTATTATAGATAACTTCACAAAATAAGGTATGCAATTTTATACTTATCCTCAGTGAAGCATATGTACCTCCCCAAACGTACTCATTCTTTAATAGGAGATAAGTATGTGACAGAAATAACCAGTACCTAATTATTCACGCTTTCACTTTAGAGAACTCAGGGTTCTCAGACAGTACAACTTCCTTCAGTTCTTCTACTTAATGCTTTAAAAATTCCAGTGAAGTTTCTAAATATTTGTTGTTAGAGACTATCCTATCTTCTCTTTCCCAGTGCACTTAGAATAAAGATATTTCCTCTTGTAACATTTATAATGTTTTATACAAAACAAGTTATTTGCAAGATTCATAGCGCTAGCACAGCACAGACCTTACCTTCCGCACGTGATTTGTGTGACAACACTTCCCATAAGTTCAAAAACTTTCCTTGGGTTTATTTCATGGCTGGTAGAGTTATGACCCAACTGACCATAGCCTCCAGCTCCAAATGTAAAAACCCCACCTTCCTAAACAAATAAATTATTTGAATTAAAATGAGAGCACATCTCAGAACAAGAAACTTATCAGAACTAGGGGGCTTAACACATCTCCTCGTCTGATGATTCTGGAATTGTGGGGAAGGAAGAGAAAAAACGCACAAGGGGATCCTGCTATACACAAGAGTCACAAGTTAATTGCAGTTACGAAGACGTGGCACAGTTTTCAGGTATTACCTTTTCCGTAAATTGTGTTCTTGTAAACTCCACGTTATTATACAACAGTCCTGCCATTAACTTGTGTAATTAACAGATATTAATCCTTGTTTTTCCTCTTTTCCAGTTTTCTTGATGAACTATAATGGTATACAAACTCATACTATTAAAACATACAGTTTGGCTTTTAAATTCTGAATATAAATTTCAAAATAATTACCAAATAGGAAGTTGCCCTTCTTGGACAGATGATGCAGAGTATGACTGAAATAGTCAGCTTCATTATTTCCAAGTATAAGAAACCAGAAAAATTCAACATTGTTGTAAGGCAAATCATTTGAAGTGTTTTTGATTAATTTATCAAAAAAATCAACCAAAAACTCTAATGGAAGAATGTTAGATCAGAAACATTTTTAGAAGTTGTACAACTTACCTTACAACAACTTTGAAACTTTCCATTTTCAAATGCTTTGCAATTGTAAAGCGGTTTCTTTCAGTCCTACTCTGCATCAGATTGGACCTCTGCTGGAAATCATCACTAAAATGGCAGCGTCCGCTGAGAAAAACCAACAGCCTCATTCACTGAATCAGGATAACAAACAGTGACAGGTATTTCTGAATTTCAGTAGGACTTAAAAATGCTCACAATATACACAGTATTGTCCCTAAGAGATATAAATCAAGATTTTCCCCCCCCATAACGAAAGGGAGAATGAACTCACACAAATGGGTAACAAATAATTCATAGAATTTACTGTAAATTCAGTATCTTAATCCATTCCTTAACTTCAAACTTGCTTTAAAGCTGAACTTCTACACACTAAGGGGGCAAACATTTAGAACGCAAGCTACCAATTGCTGTATTTTCTTTACAGAGTTGCAACATCTCTCTTTCAGGCAAAGAAAGAGACTATTTCATGACAAAAAAGCAACTGTTTTTGAACAGCCTTTTCCGTTTAAGTGTAGGAACTTAAACTTACCTAAGCAACCAAAGAATGGCCACAATGAGGCAGACCATACTCTTCAAATTAACTTTTCATTTGTTGCAGAGTAAAAATTCAAACTAAGATATTTTAAAAAGGTACATTTTCCAGAAAGATCTTTTTCCTCAGAAATAAAACATTAAAAATAATTGTCATAATATTCCGAATCCAACAGATTCAGAAATTAAAAAGGTATTTAATCACCTTTCTGAAGGGTGATCAAAATTGTTTTGTATTGCTACTAAGAATAAGCTCAAAGTTTTTTGTTTTTTTTTTAATTGATGTATTTAAGAGTGCCGAACAAAAGGAAACAAAGTATTAATACATACAGATTTATACCTAAGTGCTGAAGTTTAATCTAAGTATCAAAACACTGGAAGGAAGGTACAGGAGTCAATCATTTAAAGCCGTACACGTATTGTATTACCCACCACAAAATAACAAAAGTATTTCTGATTGCTAGAAGCCTGACATGCACAATCTTAGTGATGAACAGTGTAAAAAAGAGCCATTGCATTATACAGTCTATGTTGCTCTTAAAGTTTTCCAAACCTTAAACAAGTTTGCAAACGACGCATTTAGCCTACAGTTAGACATAGGGCAACTTTATACTTTTCAGCTCTCCAGCTATTTTGATCGATTCCTATGTTGCTGTAAGAGCATGCCACACTGACACAGAACACATACTTTTTCTCCAAATCAGCCTTGATATCATGACCAACCTTTGATGGAACCTCATATTTTTAGTAGCTTATAATACTTACCAGCAGGTAATGTAAATCCTCAATTTCTTCTATTGGCTTGCCAATAGTACATATAAGTCGAAACTGTAGTTCGATAAGAAAACCCTAAACAGCATCCCCATACTATCCCACATACGGCAGCACGTAATCTAGATTCAAAACTAACTCGGTCTGGTCAGTAACAAATCCAGCCATAACAGAGGCATTACATTCAGGATACAGCTACTATCTTTAACAGACTCTAATGTAAATTCCAACACCTGCACATGTTTAATAATGCAACACGCACTGTTACATAAGCAACGCTAAATCTGGTATGCTCAACTTTACCAAATCGGAAAAAAAATCTAGAACTACAACAAGATTCCTTGTATTAAGTTTTCAAATATTTAACCATTCTTCCAACAATGCCATAATTTCATCCACTACACTCTGATGAAATTAGACATGGAATTTAGAATGTTTTTAGGAGAAAATGCTACCTGAAGAGTAAATAATAAACAAAAATCAAAGTATAAATATATTTTTAAATATTGTACCTTTGTAAGAGCAGCAGTATGATCTTCTCCACAACATATATGAACAACTTTCTGAGTTCTCAACGATTTTAGCAGGGTAGGAACATATCTGTCTGAAAGGTTTAATACAGGAGTGGATTGCTTATTTTGAAAATAAAAATCAGAAGGCAAATAGTTTTATGCTCATTATTCTAATCTGCTTCCAATCAAACAAATACTTTAAATTTGTTAAAATAATGCAATCGCTGTCACTGAGTTTGTGTATCTTTGAGATGGAAGTTAGGGAAAAACAGAGATACTATTATACTGAAATATTTTGTAGCAAACAGACTTCATTTTCCCTAGCATAGGTTCACATGTCAGTGTGTAAATCATGAAACACAGAATAATACATTAGAACGGCCACTGGCCATAAGACAAGGAAGCAAATAACAGATCTTTTCAGTTACATGCTTCATGTTTTTCAGTTGTTCAGGAGCTGATACTAGTTGGTCATAATTCAACATTACTAAAACTGTAATAGAAGGGAACAGTGACTAATTAAGAAGCACAAGCAACTTCCCTTCAGCTGCCAGAACAAATCAACTTTGTGATCCAGCTGCACAACAGAAATTTTATAACAGTTAACGCTAATGTCTCTAAATTTGTCAGGGTACACAAAAGACACTTGGAAGAGAAGCTATCCAGACATAAAAAAGGAATTTGATTGAGAAGTGATGCTGTATAAAAATTGGGATCATACATATCCCAAAGAGAAGCAACTTAAGCGCCCGTGAAAACTTACTTTCTGAAAAGTACACATGATTTTCCTATTATGAGTGCGTGACCAGGTTTAAAGCATTGAGATCCACATTTTAACTACACTGCATTATCCTTTTTATAAAGGGCATTGAGAACAAAGAACTAATGAGAACACTTTAATCCATAAAACTAGCTATAGATTATCCTATACTAAATTGTGTATTGCAAGAATATGACAGCATATACTCCCACCTTGGAGCTCTGCCCTGACTGAGTGCATGTAACTGGGAAATCCAACTAATAAAGAAACAAAGTTTAATCTAGCCTAACTACTTGTTTTGAAATTGTTAGTGAGTTACCAGTACCCTAAGAAAGGAAATTTTGGAAACCTCTAGCCGAAAGTCATAAATGGTTATCAAAAGCACTCTGAGGAGGGAAAACAAAGGCAGTAACAGGCAGTAATAAACAATGATGTTCCCTTAAATGTGTCTACCGAACAACTAAATAGCTTTGGTTATTACTATTTTTGTCATGCAATTTAATCCACCCAAAATTTAGTTCAAGTTGTAACCACTGCACGGCATCTTAATTCGATCCAGTTCAGAAAGTCAAAGTTACAGAAAAATCTAGGACCAAAAAAGAAAACAAATCATGCAGGCTACAATTTCAATATCACATCAGAACTTCCATTATAATAGCTGGGCAAGGGGGAAAACACATCTTTCTTGTACGAGAATCTCACATGACATTGACACTCTCCAACCACATTCAACAAAGGTTTGTTTTGCCTGCTCCTTTTCTAGGAATACTGCTACCTTTAGGTTCACAAACCAGGACTTTCATCACGAATTATTTTTACTGAAGTAATGATCACTTACCATTATCATCATTAAGACCCAGCTGCCCAAATTTGTTGCGTCCCCATCCAAAAATGGCTCCAGAAAGAGTTAGTACAAGACTATGAGCTCCTCCTGCTGCAATCTGTGCAAAAGGGATTCCCAGCAGAGACTTAATTACATGCGGCGATGTTTGTTTTTTATATTCATAACCTAAACCCAGTTGGCCATATTTATTTTGTCCCCAGGAAAACACTTCACTTCCTGTTTAAAGGAAAAAAATGAACAAGAAATATAGTCAATATAATTTAATCACACAAAACTTATTTACTTTAAAAAAAACTAAAAGCAAAAGTTAGACTGCTACATGACACCTTTCGAGTTTGAACATGCATACTGCACAGGTTCGTTCATTTTCAAAGTTAAACCTTCTACTGTAATTTGCAGACATTCAACTAAAAAGTTTAAACAAACTGAAAGTATTTAAAACATGTTAACTGAAAGTATTTAAAACATGTTCAAAACCTTCAAGACTACTCTTAACAATCCTGTGTCAACAGTACCAGCTAAGTGGCATTTGGTTATCATGAAGCAAGACTCTGATCCACTGGAGTTCTACTAGCACACATACTGTTCTGCAGAAAACGTGCTGAAGCTGCACACTGGACATGCAAGTTTCCAGTTTCCAAGCACTGACGTGTTTATACATTCACATGTTTAATTTTCATATACAATTCAAAAGATAAAAATATGCTGCATTTAAGTATGGCATTAAAGATATGATCAATGAAGCACAAAGCTTATAAACATGTTTGATGGATTATAAAGAAAAATATGTTGAAGAATCACAAATCAGACAGCTATTTATATTAAGACGACTTTCAGAAGTAAAAGCTCTGCAGAACAACTAATGCTTTGCCAGCATATTTACTATCCTAAAAATGAATACCTAATCACAAAGATGTTTTGCTTTTGTTGTTGCTGATGTGATAAGTTTCAGATAATAATTTTATCTGCCTCTTCTACCTCAATTTTTCCAATAAAAGCTTTATCAAGATGGACAACAATGAAGCTCTTCCCCTGGAGTAAAGGCTACCTAGATTCTTTTGTATAAAAGGTTAAAATTAAAAAAATTTTAACAGCAAAAATATTCTATGCCAGTCACACTTATAATCACATGAACTAATCTGTCTGATCAATACTCCATATGCAGATCCAAAACACTATGAAGCCTCCTCTGAAATTGCTCAATTCAAATAACGTCAGGCCATTTTCCTTCCTCTGCAGGGCTGCTTTTTCAAAGCCAAAACTTGACCTTGTTACATTGCAAGTATTAGGTTCTGGACAGGTTCTCTTACCACAACCAAAAAAAAAAAAAAAAAGCATAATGCAGCTGAAGAATAGACAGAGCTGCAAATCCATGAATTGGAAACAGCACTTTTAAGTGATGCCAAACTTGAAGCTTGTGACTATTTAAAACAATAAGTGACTTCTAAATAACAAGCTACTACTAAATTATTGCACCTTTGACCAAACAGTTACACAGTACAATTCTGTTACTTCCCACATTGCATTGGTGATCTTAATCCAGACAAAGGATTATTTTTAAATCCCAGCCTATATATAGTATAAACAAAGGAATTCCACTAGGTTATAATAGGCAAGGGCACCTGTGAATATAGAAATGCCACAGAAAATGCTCACTACATGCCTATGAAAAGTTATGTACAGAATCAAGGCACACGTGGTCAGTATGAACTACTGAAAAAAAAAAGAATAACAATGGCAGCAATTCTGCAGCCATTTCTTTCAAATGAAAGTTTTGGCCACAGCTCAATTTATTTTGTCATGATGAAACAAACAAGAAGCAAATTTAAATTTATGTTCGTCTTCACTTCTGGAAAGCTATATTAGTTAGACATACAAAACTTTGACATGAATGAAGCCTACTATGTTCTCAAAGCCCCAGAAAAGTTTTAAAGACAGAAGTTTAAACCTTTCAAAATGTGAGTTATAATGGGATATTGCATTTAAACTCTAGAAGCATCAACAAAACAGAGGCTTTGCAAAAGAAAAGCAGACAAGGAAGTCATTCCCTGTAAGCCTCAGTAACTTCAGCTACAGGTTAAACTAGTGACAAAGAAGCAGGCTAGCAGGATGAAAAAGAGGCGAAATGAGAAAAATGAGAGAAGCAACAATGAATTTAAAAGGAAATTACCTAACAGCAAGACCATAAAAAACAAAAAAGCATAGAAAAAAGCAGAACGACGCTAACACACCATTTTTCTAGTAGGAAAATGGAGTTTGTACATTTATTATCCAACTATTCACCATTAAATCATGTTTCCACTACCAATGTGAAATCTCAACTGTGCTAAGTGGTAGCGTATTTTAAAACGCATTTCCTTTAAAAATAAATAAATACTGAAACCTTTAAAACTATCAAGCAAGAGATTACACAACAGTTCGGAACAATCTGGCTTACCTTTGGAGAGCGCAAGTGAGTGATAATAACCACAAGCAACTTGCACAATTTGGATCTCTGATAAGCTTTTAATATTTCTATTGGGGTAAGAAAACAGAGAAAGATTTAAGCCGCTAGATCACAGTATGAAATACAGTCACATGAAAGGATAAAATAAAAAAGTGAAGCCTTTTCACTGAAGTACATATGAAAGTAATTTAAATAGGCTAATTTAAATTAAAAGCTATTTAGTAAAGTTACAAGTTTTAAGTCAAAGCTTCTTCACTAGCACCTCTAAAGAGTAGGTTCTGTCTTATTTTTAATTAGTGAAGCCAGTAAGAGACCATTATGAAGTATTAGGGAGAACTGTCTGCTTTGGAGACGCTAGGAAGGAGACGTCACACAGCTGAATGGAGAGAATCAATACTGGAAGCAAGAATCAGAAGACATTTCCTTTCTAGTTTTCAAGGGGGAAGGAAGTTTTTTCTAGTATGTTAGTCTTTTTCACATTGATACTAGATACAAAGACTGAATTACATTCTGTTCAATTTGAACACTCAAAATGTACTTTTTTTTCCTTCCACTAACATTAACCTCAATGGAACCAAAACTTCAGCTTATAGAGCCAGTAGCAAGCATTGCTCAAGTTCACAATTTCATCAGGAAGTTGAAAATATTTGCAAAGGTGCATGAAACCAGTATACAATATGAGAGTATATTTTCAGCTTTCGATGAGAAAAACAGAAGTCTGTAAAAGTCTTTAAAAAGGCTTTGAAATTTGATATGTAAAAGAAAGTTCTATATTAGTTATGCATTATTCATACATTATTCATATTTATACTTATGTCACACACAGCCTTGGTCAAGTTACAAATGATTGCTGTTCTGAGGAACTACTACTTTTGTTTTCTTTCTATGTCAAAATAATAAATAAATAAGAAAACCTCCAGCCTGCAAGCATACAAATTTACTGGTATGGACAGTTCTACTGATTTCGGTGAAGCCATTCATCACAGTAAAAATGTATACTTGCTGGGCTTCAGTTTGCTGGAATGCTTACAGCACTGTGAAAATAGTGCACCAGATAAAATTCTTTGAAGTCCCATAACTGGTTATGAAAGTTTCAACACTGCTTCTCTGACTCCTAACTGGCAGTTAATCAATCTCCATTTCTATCCTTAAATATTCACTCTGCTTCACATAACTTCCACTCTTACGACATGACCATTAAAAACCAAAACAACCAAACCCACAACACACTCCTCACATAAGCTACTTTTGAGAAAGAAAATAAACAGGTCACAGCATTCAAGTGCTATAGCTAAAATACACTTTCTAATGTTTGTTTTTAATAACAACAGCAGAATAGCTTAGCCAATGTGATTTGAGCACACTTTTTTCAAACACAGTAACTTTATTATAAACTTTTTTTTTTTTTTTTTTAAACCTGGGCACTCGGATGCACTCCTCTGTTCCAGGCAAGCCAAGCTGTCCATCAGTAGCCAGACCCCAAGCATATACCTGACCCTTGTCATTTAACGCAAGCGTGTGAGCTTCTCCACATGATACAGCTACTATATTTTGGGCATCCAGTGCACCAACATGCTCTAGAAAACACAAACAAAAGAAAGAAAAAAAGAAGAGAAAAAAGAAAAAATTAATCATCAAAAAAAAAGCTTGAGACTAATGAGCAAAGGCTGTCCATCACAGCTGACAGACATTTGTCTACTAAGGTATAAATTGAAATCACACAAATAAGTCTAGAAGCCTGACAAAACAGCATATATCTAAAATTACAAGCATGCTATCCCAGGAGTAGATTAAATTTGACGCCCCAAAGTAATCCAACAACTTTATATTGGTACATTAAGTTAACTCTAGATACAGAGATGCACATAAACTGCAGTTTGATCACAGTGGTTTCTTCTAGCCTTGACATCCGAAAACAAGCGCACAAATTCAATTAACATTAAGGTCAAATAGAGTATTGTCAAATGTCTACACGTGTAGATATTATGTAAGAGGAAAACATTCACCACAGTGACTTAAGTTCACCTATTTACTAAAAAAAACAAAAAAAAACCCTCTGCAAAACAATGCAGGGTACATTTAAAGTGTAAAGGCATTGATCCTGCAATGAGCTAGACACTGTCCTCTTTATGACGCAGAATGCTATAGCAAGGGATCTTAAAGTATAAATTTTCTAGGCATGCAATGCACACCTCTGAAAAGCAAATACTACAGTACTGTGATTTCTCCCAGTAGTCTGCATCAATACCTTTAAATTTATTTGGATGAACCTAGGCTTTGTATTTGTGCTTATGACAGCTTGATCAGAAGCGTGATCAGAAGTCAAACATTTTCATTTCAGTGGCAGTAAAGGGGAAAATATCAGAGCCTGTTATTAAGGCTGGGATTTTCAAAGCCCCCTTAAACAAGGGCCTGCTTGGACCTTTTACGGCCAGTTTTCAAGCACGTCAAATTTTGTTCCTGCCCAAGAATCACACACCACTGAAAAAGTCTGTGTATCATCAATATAACATAGACTGTAAACACAGCCTAACATAGTCTAAGTTAGTTTTAAAAAAGTAGCCAACAATATCTGCAACAAGTAGACACTCAGTTTCCAAAATAAAATAACAAAAGGAGCAAACACGTTCATATTGCTAAGGCCTGGTCTGATTAAAGAGGTTACCACCCCAATTTAGCCCATTAGTCTCCACAGCTCTGCCACTCTTCACTTCAGGCCACACCAAGCCGATTAGCTCAGACTGTCTTCACTGCCTGTTAAACTAGGTGGGCTGACTTTGCCTAATATGGTTTAAGGAGCATTCACAAGACCCCTATGGCCAGCAGAGCTCTGTGGGGAGGAAATAGGGAAGGCACAGCTGAATAGCACCATTGGTGACACTGAGCTGACAAAGACAAGCAGTTAGTGCCAAAAGTATCTTTAGTAATCACAAACGCATCCTAAAGAGAGCGTGTGTCAATCTCTAAAGACATTGAACCTCTTCAGGTTGCCCAGTGAAGGTTATCCCAGTGTACCTCCTTCACATTGGAGCATCCAATAACATTGTCAGCAACCACTGGATGGAAGAAAAATTAGAGAGGAGGACACTACAAGCCTCCTGACTGTTGTGTTTGATTGTGTTTAAAAAAAAAGTATTTATGGCAACTACTCGTACATTACATGGGAAAGTTCAAATAAAGCTCAGACAAGCGTTCATAGAGCAAAACAAAAAAGGTCAGATTCTCTATGGTAATTTTTAAATTAAAAAAATAATTCAGCACCATTTTCAAAGTGAGTTACAAGTATTCAGACTTTATTAAGAGGTACTTCTGCAAGTTGAGTTTCTCATGTTCATGAAGCAGATGTTTATTCAGGATTAAAGTTTATCACTTTCAATATCCACTTACTGTTTCCCAATAAAAGTCAAGATTAGCTTTAAAAGTTACAGATCAATTATGCAAGAAAATCTTTACTTGGCATCAAATCTGAAACTCTGAAGAAAGGAGAACTACTGAATTATTACATAGTAGAGGGGTAGTAACTGCTTGAAAACAGCCTTATTTCAATTTGAATGTTTGTATCTATTATTGTACCAAGCAACTTGCAAAACTGCTGCAACAGATATTAGAATAAACTCTTACTAAGCCTTTTCAGTTTGCTTACATTATGCTCTAAGTACTGCCAGAACCACCTTTCCGTGAACCACCTTTTCTCTCAGTAGCATGCAGATATGACTCACATGCGCAGCTCTGAAGGAAGCCCATGTGCACACTCCTCTGCAGTCCCTACAAGATGTTTACCAACTCCTGCTATAGAAGAGCACCAGCAGCAAGCAGGAATATGCTCATAACACAGATAAGAGAGAAAAAAGCCCAAAGAAGTTTTACACTGCACCCTTTAGGCTTATCTAAATTCTACTCCTATAATAACATATAGGTTGAAATGTCTTTTATCAGAAGTTTTTAGTTCTTAAAAAAGTTGCTTTAATCAGACTTGCTCTATATCACACATTGGACAACTAAAAACACACAGCATGTTTCCCAACTATGGTATACCAAATATTAATTGCTACCATCTTCCAATAGCCAAATATATAATATAGCACAATAGTAGCCCACGTATTGAAGCTAATCACCTCCCCGCAGGATTAAAATCAGCCAATGATTCCCACAGCCTTGGATAAAGTGATTCCACACTGGAAACAAAACCCAACAAAAAAAATAGTGGCATTGTCCAGCTGCACAGTGAGCAAAAACGTGGGGATACAGACATGTTTCACAGTTGGCTGTTTCCAACTGTCACAAGATGTGAACCACGCAAACGAACGTTCTTTCAAGTAAAAACACGCCAGTTCTTGGAAGAACTACTGTGCACACAATTCGGCCCATGCACAAACAGTTGCCCGTCTTGGGCCTGATGTAGCATAACAAAGTGAAAGATACATGCACAAACACATACAGACACACTCCACAGGTCAATACTCCTAAACTTACCGGGTCTTTTCCTGGCTTTTTCGTGCCCTAGTTGTCCTAGATCATTGCATCCACATGTATAAACAGTTCCATCATCCAGGACAAAAACAGTATGTCTGAGTCCACATCCCACATCTCGGACTCTTTTATTTAAGAAAAAGCCACTTTTTCGGGGTTCTAAAACAATCTCTTCATCAATTCCACCCAATCCAAGCTGTCCAAAAGATGCATTTCCCCAGCACAACATGTTTACACTTCTCTTGACTAGAGATCTTCCAGCTTCACTTTTCTAAAATTTCCCTTCTGCGTAGCTGTTCAAGGAAAGAAAAACGTACAATTTTTCAGCACCATTTATAAAGTCTGTTATCTCCTATACAGCACGTCATCCACAACTTTCACCTTCTACATACCAAGACCTGAAATAATGAAAAGTTTTTAAGAGTCTGATTTACTTTCTCAGACAGTATTTACATGAATTCTGAAGTAAGACGCTTTCTTTCCAGTTTCACAACTTTTAAATGTATGGATCCTCAATTCTATACATGTTTCAAAATTTGAAGTCTCATTATCTTTGTAAAACTTCCTTAATCCCCAATTCAAGACCACATAAATGGCAGTTACGACCAACTCTACCCAGTGCAAATGACTTCAAACATCTTTTAACAAGACAGTGCAAACTGGAGCACTGAAAAGCAGAAAGCACTATGAGTGGCTTCCAGAAGATGCCCCAAAACAGCACTTGACTCATAGCTTGGAAAAAATTGGTCAGTCCTGATCAAACCAGTTATGCAAGTCAAAAAATAAAATGATGTGTCGCTCATTATATCTGAACACGTATGAGTCAACTGAACTTTCAATTACAAATAAATAAACAAACAGCTGCAACACAGGCCCCAATCCCACACTACAATCAACACAGACTACAGCTTCATAGATGCTTCTGCAGTAACACGGCATATGCAAACTCATCCATGTAAACCCTGCTCCCTAATGCCTAGATCACATCTTATCGGTATTTGCGCTGACAGACTTTGTACCTATTTGGAGAGGATACAAAGCTATGCTTCCCTTTCATTTTCAGGATTCAGTATTACAGAGCACTTGTGATGATATTCTCACCATTACTTACACTACACTTCCATGACAAGTAATATCTCCGTATTTTCTGAGCAATTCAAGAACCAGTGCAATACAATGTAAAGTTCCTGCAAGTTTTCATCAGTGATCATTCTAATTAAGAAGGGATGAATAATGGAATGTAGAGTAAAACACACTACAAATATCGTAAATGCATTCAGTGTTGCCTTCTGAAGGGTCATGACATGTATAAACTACATAAATATAAAAGTGCTCAGAGCAACCTGCTATCAGATACCACCAAAGTGTTACGAGGAACGGCAAAATTACTGCCGATACAATAGGATGAACTATTTTTCTTTGCAAAAGTCAATTTGCAGTAAACAAGATGCCTGTTTTCATGATGTCATGCAAAAAAAAAAAAACCCAGCCAAACAGCTTAAAATAGACTGCATTTAGTTTACCTATCTCAGGACATGACGCATGATCAAGTATTTCTCTAGCTATTACTAGGTATATCCTACCACATTCAGAAGGGGACATCAAAAAAAAGATGCCTTTGGTTAAGGCACAGCTATATAACAGCAACCTTCACGCATCCGTAACAAGGACTGCAACGCAAGCTTCAACCTGCAATACAAGAAGTTAGAAAAGACATATGATTACAGCACTTTAGGATTTGCACAGTCATTATCCATCTCTAGATGGGGAAAAAAGAAAAGGAGTTCTCTTTTCTATGGAAACAGATATATTTCTTCCCCACAGAAGTCTGTTTTGTTGTGTTGTTCTTTTTTTGTTTGTTTGTTTTTTTAAACTCAGCATCCAGAGAAATTGTGTACTTTGATCTCAAATCGGGGTGATATTCTTCCCTTATCATGAAAGCTACTGCATGTGGTCAACTGGAGACTACTACTACGTGTGACGTCAAAACCGGCCCAACGCCGACACCCAACAGCAGAAACGAAGTAAACCACCACCCAGCTCACCTCCCGCGGGGGCCCAACAAGTAACGGGGCCGGAGGAAGCGCCTGGACGTTGCCGGTCGGCTGGAGCACGCCGTACGAGCGCACT